ACCTGACTGCATAACACGCCTGGATATGCCGACGGGGGCGAGGAGGAGGAGGAGGAGGAGGAGGAGGAGGAGGAGGAGGAGGAGGAGGAGGAGGAGGAGGAGGGGGAGGGGGCAGGCGAGGGAGCCCCGGCCCTGGGGGAGGGGCCCTGAGGGAGCCCTGATGGGCTTCCGGCACCATGGAGAGGTCCTGTGGGGCGGCCGCCCCTTCTTCTCTCGGTCGTTTCCCTCTCGCCCAGAAGCGCGCGCCCCTTCTTCTATATATACAGAAACTCCCGATCAACCGCAGAGCGGCGGATGTTATGTGCGTGTGTGCGTGCGCGTGCGCGTGTGTGTTTGGTGCTTTCGGGGCTATGAGGGCTGGGGTATCAGTCGCCGCACCAGCCTCTGGCAACGCAGGCTCGAGGCGCTGCGGCACCCACGATCTGGCTCTCGAGCCGCCGTGCCGGAGGCTGCGCCGCGCGCGTGTGCGTGTGCGTGTGCGTGTGCGTGTGCGTGTGTGTGTGTGTGTGTGTGTGTGTGTGTGTGTGTGTGTGTGTGTGTGTGTGCGGCTGTGTGCGCGTGTGTGCGCGTGTGTGCGCGCGTCTGTGCAGGGGGCGTGGTGAGGGTGCGAGAGGGGGGGTCTACGGCGTGCGTGCGGGGAGTGTACGGGGCGGGCGGGCGCGGAGGGTGCACGGTGTTCGTACCTTGTGTTTGCGTGTGTGTGTGAGTGTGTGTGTGTGTGTTTGGCGGGCGGGCGGGGGTGCGTGCACGGTGTGCGTTCGGGGTTTGTGCTTCGCGGGCGGTTGGGAGGGGCGCACGGTGTGCGTACGTTTTGCGTTTGGTGTGAGTGGCGTGGGTATGGGTTGTGTGAAGTATGGATGTATGCATGCATGCATGCATTCATGTATGTATGTGTGTATGTGGGCATTCATGCGTTGGGGGTGCATTGTATGTTATGTGGATTGAACAGCTTGTGTGTTGTGTCGTGTGTGTTCATGTACAATGGTACTACGACTGACGATGACGTGACGATGCTGATGGTGGTGATGATGAAGAGGATGATGGTGATGCTGCTGTTGATGATGATGATAATGCCGAAGACGACGATGTTGCTGACGATGGTAACGATGACCATCACGATCACGATGACTACTCCCACTCAGTATGGCCTTACAGACTCCCATTACCTTCTCGTTCCGGAAGGGCGCTTCCCGGCATGTGAGACGTCCGAATGTAATTAAGTCAACATGTCATTGTTTGAAGGATGTCCAGACCCCCCTCCGAATTGGATCGCTTGATGATGTCCCCCGCGAGAGCTTCATTTTTGAAGATACGTCAAATTCACAAGCGATTCCAACATCTCAATTTGTTCGAGGATGTCCCAGGTGAAATCGCTATGTTTGAGCTTCAACGTCCCTTAATGTGTTCAGGATGTCTCGAGCGAAACGGCTGTTTGGTTAGGGGCTCGAAGATTTCGCGACCGATCTCAACATCTCCACTTTTTGGGGAAGTCTCGAGCGAGAACTTCACTTTTAACGATCATACGTCTTAACACAACTCCTTCTACATTCAATGTTTGGAGGATGTCTCAGGCGAATCGGTCGTTTGGGGGGAAATCAGCTGGGCGAACATGTTTTGCACCCGCGATCGAGTTGTCCTGCGTGTTTTGGTTCTTTCAAATTCCTTACTCGGCATGGCCTAACAAACTCCCATCACCTTCTCGTTCCGAGAAGGCGCTTCCCGTCATCCGCGCAGCGTTCGACCCCTTGCGACCCCGAGCCAATCGTCCCTCGCGCCATACTTCTTCATTCGAGCCTTCCTCGGCTTGGCCTAACAAATTTCCATCACTCTTTCTTTCCAAGACGGCGCTTCCCGTCTTCCCTAAGCGGTCAGATCTCTGGCACCCCGAACAAGTTTTCCCTCGCGCCTCAGTTCTTCATCAGTTCTTCAAGTAGCATGGCCAAGCGACACCCCATCACCTTCTCGTTCCGAGAAGGCGCTTCCCGTCATCCGCGCAGCGTTCGACCCTTGCGACCCCGAGCCAATCGTCCCTCGCGCCATACTTCTTCATTCGAGCCTTCCTCGGCTTGGCCTAACAAATTTCCATCACTCGTTCTTTCCAAGACGGCGCTTCCCGTCTTCCCCAAGCGGTCAGATCTCTGGCACCCCGAACAAGTTTTCCCTCGCGCCTCAGTTCTTCATTAGTTCTTCAAGTAGCATGGCCAAGCGACACCCCATCACCTTCTCGTTCCGAGAAGGCGCTTCCCGTCATCCGCCGGCCCATTCCCAGCATGGCACTGAGGGGCAGGTTTACCTAGTGCACGAGAACTTTTGGCCTGGGCACTTTCCAGGGAAACCGCCGTCCGAAGACATCCAAGCACCTCCCCCCTCGGTCCCTAGCAATCGAGCGCAAAACCAATCAACCCGACCAGGAGGAGGAGGAGAAGGAGGAGGAGGAGAAGGAGGAGGAGGAGGAGGAGGAGGAGGAGGAGTGGAGAGGAGGGGAGAGGAGGGGGAGGAGGAGGGGGAGGAAAGCGGAGGGAAGAGGAGGAGGAGGAGGAAGGGGGAGGAGGAGGAGGAGGAGGAGGAGGAGGAGGAGGAGGGGAGGAGGAGGGGGAGGAGGAGGGGAGGAGGAGGAGGGGGGAGGAGGGGAGGAGGAGGAGGAGGAGGAGGAGGAGGAGGAGGAGGAGGAGGAGGAGGAGGAGGGCATGAGGAGGAGGAGGAGGAGGACCAGAGTAAATCCAAGATGCCCCCGCCAGTTTGCGCTTCCACGGCGGCCGAGCGCCCCCCCTTGAGAGACGAGCGCCCCACGGGCCCGCGTTTCGGGCGGGAGCTCCGCTGGGAAGGACGCCGCCCTCCAGCCTGCGGACTGCAAGGACTGCGACGACGTGTTTTTTCTTTGGGCCTCCTCCTCCTCCTCCCTCCTCTCCCCTCCTCCTCCTCCTCCTCCTCTTGATCCTCCTCTCCTCCTCCCTCCTCCTCTCCTCCTCCTCCTCCTCCTTCTCTCCTTTCCTCCTCCTCCTCCTGCTCCTGCTCCTCTTTTCCTCCTCCTCCTTCTTCTCTCTTTCCTCCTCCTCCTCCTCCTCCTTCCTCCCCCTCTCCTCCCCCCTCTCCTCCCCCCTCCTCTCCCCTCATCTCCCCTCCTCCCCCTCCTCCTGCTCCTCCTCCTCATCCTCCTCCTCTTTCTCCTCCTCCCTCCTCCTCCTCCTCCTCCTCCTCCTCCTCATCCCCCTCCTCCTCCTCTCCTCCTCCCCCCTCCACAATTACTCAATATGAAGACTACTCTCCCTCTTCCCCTGATGACGATATGGGAGTAGCCGACCCCCCCGCGTATTGTTTTTTTACACACAGGTTTCCCCGGAGTTGGGTTTTCGCCTGCATTTTTTCCCAAATGCTGCTCTCGCTGAGGCGCCGGCCTCATTTTCGGGCCCCGCTTGTTCCGAATCGTGCTCCCGCTGCAGCGTGGGTCTCATTTTCGGATCTGTGTTTTACCTCCGTCGTTCAGGATGGCGTTCTCGCCCCAGCGCGGGCCTCTTTCTCGCGCGCCCATCCGCCGGCCACCACCGCACCGCGCCCCGCCCCGCCCACCGCCACTTCCACCCACCAACGCACGCACGCACGCACGCGCACCGCCACCACCACCCCACTACCCCACCCACCACCACCACGCTACACCGCGTCACACCACATCACACGCGCGCGCACACAGACACACACGCACGCACGCACGCACGCACGCACGCACGCACGCACGCACGCACGCACGCACGCACACACACACACACACACACACACACGCATACACACACATTCACACACACACACACATACACACATTCACACACCACCACCACCACCACCACCACCGCCACCACCACCACCACCACCGCCATCACGCACGCACGCACCTGGCCCACCACCAAACCACCAAGACGCCACACCACGTCACACCACAGCACACACGCACACACGCACACACACACACCACCACCACCACCACCACCACCACAACCACAGCCACAACCACAACCACAACCACAACCACAACCACAACCACAACCACAACCACAACCACAACCACGCACTCACGCACGCACGCACGCACGCACGCACGCGCACCACCACCCACTACGCACGCGCGCGCGGAGCCACAGGTCCGCTACGACACGCGTCCGCGGATAGAGAAAATCAGCGCCATGGTAAGGGATGGGAGGGAGGGGTAGGACGTCAGATATGACGCGAGCGCACCTAGCTTGTCCTCCTCCTCCTCCTCCTCCTCCTCCTCCTCCTCCTCCTCCTCCTCCTCCTCCTCCTCCTCCTCCTCCTCTCTCCTCCTCCTCCTCCCCCTCCTCCTCCTCCTCCTCCTCCTCCTCCTCCTCCTCCTCTTTGGCGGTTCCTACACATCGGTGCTCCCGTGAACCGATCTTGGCATCGCTCGGCATCGCTCGGACGTTTGCAGTTTTTTCTCGGCGAGGGCCATCGAGCAGTGTCTTGGGTCATCCTGCGAATAGGTGAACGCACGAAATCGAAGCATGCACGGGGAACGGACGTCCACAAGGTTGCACAAGGTTTCATTCCTGGCCATAAGATCAGACGAAGTCTTAGGCGAAAATTGCACTCCATCCACCAATATGATGGTGAAATATTCGCTCCGCCTGTGTTGAAAAGGAGCTGCACCCCCATATGATGGTTAAAGCTTACACTTGTGGGGAGGGTGTTCTGCGGAAGTCTCAGGCGAGAGCCCCATTCAAAAGATGAGCCGGCCTCCAGCCATGTAATTGTTGGAAGCGCTTAAGACGAATGTGCGCGGCGCTTGGGCGAGAGTCACATGTTGAAGACCACTGGCCCTCCATCATCCCTGTAACTGTTGGCCAGTGTACGCTTCGGAATGCAAGTTCGCATGGACTGCCGCATGGAAGTCTCAAGCGAAACGCCCGGCCCGGCCTACGGACAAGCCTGGTGGCGCGGCAGGGAGGAGTTATCTACAATGTGGAAGGATGGAGGAGGAGGAGGAAGAGGAGGAGGAGGAGAAGGAGGCCCTCTTGCCGCTGGAAAAAGGTTTTTTTCCTTTGTGCGCCTGCCCCCCCCCCCGCTCGCAGTCAGCGTGCACTGGCGCGCGTGCCACCGCATCGAGGGGAGGAAGCGGAGTGGCCAGGGGGGAGGAGGGAGTCGCTTCCCACTCTGGCGCCGTCGCCTGCCCGCCGAAGCAGAGTCTGCTCCTTCCCATCCTCCACCTCTCCTTCGTTTGTTTTTATCGAAGCCTTGAATTTCACCGACAGTTGCGACGTTTAGCCGCCACTGGCGGTGCATAGGGGGCGATTTGTGGACGGTTGGTGCGAGGCGTGCGCCGGTGTTTGACACGAATCGGCCAACTTCTTCACTGAGATAGGCTTCCATAAAAAAACGAACGTAGCTCTCCTCAGCCGTCGCTCGCTCGCGCTGTGGAACCGCTCTCCACCCCCGAGCTTCTGTCCCGCGGGGTATCCACGTGGGCTGCTTGCGCAGGCCGCCGCCAGGGCACGAGCAGCTTGAAGCTGGACCCAGCGCCAACCGTGCACGAGCATTCTGTTACCCTCGACCAAATGAACCTCAAAATGTGTCGCGCAGTTTCTTTGTCGATGTGATGTCTTGGGCTCGGACTTGTTGGCGCCCCCTGTCCAATGTCGGTTATCGTGGAACTTCCGAGTCGCACCCGCCCAGACCGCGTTTCTCTCTTTTTCGACACTGAAGACATTGAAGGGGGCGACATTGAATGGGTGATAGGGGGCGACGTTGAAGTGGCACGTCAACCACTTTTGAGGTTGGTTTTGTCGAGGTGCTGGCATCGTGGTGGCTGAACTCGCCCCCGCCTGCGCATGGGGACGCCTGTTCTCTTGCTGTCTTTGCAGCGCGCGGCCCTTGCGCCAGGAATCGCGACCGAGCCCTCGCCCACCGGTACGTTCTCATTGCCTACGCGGTCGAGGCTGTACTCCGCTCCCCCGGCAGTGCCGATTTGAGTACCTCCCGCGGCCTGCGCTCTGGGCTTCTTGCCCCCCCCAAAGTTTTTGCAATCGCTCCGGCTCGCCTCGTCCCACCCGGGAGGCTCCCGCCTCTCATGATGTCTGTCACAGACCGGCCACCCATCGGACCCGATTCCCTCGCGAGAGATGGCCGATGAGATGGGCTCCCCCGAGGGGTACGGGGTCGCAGCTCCCCGAGCCGTGGCTGGTCGGTGTCAGGCCAGTCCGTCCGATTGCCTGCGCTCGATGTGCTGGCCTCCACCCTCGGATTGGGCACCAACCGTTTTTAGCCGGAAGCGAGGCCTGCCCCGAAGGCTCCGCGAGCATACCTTGTCTCCGATTCGGGCGCCTTCGGGCGCGCATGTGCCGCGACGGCCTCGGTAGGGTCGCGGGGCATCCGCCTCAGATGCGCACGAGCCTTGTCCAAGACAAGGTCCCTTGCACGCTTGTTTTTTGTTCGCCACCGCGCGATCCTAAATTCGATTGCCGCACATAAGAGACCCCGATGGGGTGCGAGCGTGAGGCTTCGGCCGGTAAAAAGATTACTCCCGTGTCTTCCACGCCCATTCGAGAGTTTTGTCGCAGCTCGTTGTTGTCAGACGCGCTGCGGCAATGCAGGACTACTGGGCCAGAGACTCTGTCCAGCCAGCTGAGCCATACATGGACGTCCGCGCGTAACTTGCCCGCGTAAGATCGCGCACAAGCGCCCTCCTTTCCACGTGCAGTGAATATTGGCGGCGCGCAATATAGGGGTAGGGGGAGGGGGGAAGGTTTCTTAGAAGCACCCTGTTTCTTAGAAGGCCTCGGCCTTACGTCTATAGAGAAGGCCCGCGCCTTCTAAGAAGCAGGGGTGCTTCTAAGAAGCCTTCCCCCCTCTCCCTACCCCCCTCTGCGCGTTGCCGAGAATACCAGTATCAAGGATAAGGATTCCGTATTCCACCAATGACACCCTTTGCATTCCTGCCCCTTCGCCCCTCATGTGCTCTCAGATGGTTGCCCTGACTCTCTTGCACTCGTTCCAGCATGGACGTACAAGGGTCTTCGATCCGTACCTCGCATCAGCGCTGCCGGTTTTGACCGCAGTGTGCTGCGATGGTGGTCTGCATGGTAAGCCGCGTGAGGTCGCCGTGTCTTCGTGTGCAAGACCCTCCTCCCCGTCTTCTTCGTCGTCGGATACGGATATGCTCGCCTCTCTAGAACCCTCCCTCTCCTCCACCCGCTGGCGGCGCGCGAGGCGGTGCTCTGGCAGCGGCCGCGAGACGCCGTGCGGCGCGGCAGCCCTTGTGCTCCCCGCGCGGCGGAAGAAGCGCCGCGCGTCGCAGGTACAGTGTCCGCATCCGCGTGCGTTGCTCCTCTCGGTGTCGGGTGCTCTTTCGCTCACCTCTCTGAGAGCAAAGGTGCTGCTGAGAGGAACACTTGCGAGCTGCCAGCGACAGTTTGACTGATATCAAGCATGAAAAGCAAGCATTGCTGCTTTCGGTAATCACCTTGCAAGAATGTGTTTGCTTGCTGCTTTCTGTGAAACATACTGGTTTCAGTGAACTGTTTGCTTTCAGTGAGCGCATTGCCGCCTTCCCGTTTCACTCATGCCATGCTCGTGGCTCACATGTTCCGCATCGGTTGTCAGCGCTAGCCGCTAGCCCGCCGCTCTCTATGTTAATGCATCCTGCCTTTCTTGGCCCACCGATCTTCTCCTGTGCGTCTTTCGGACTGGCGTGCCTCGTGGCCTGCTCCTCAGAGGTGGGACGCCATGGAGGAAGCAGCGTGATGCCGCTTCTCTGCGTGGGCCGCAGCACAGGTCCTCGGGAAGCCGAAACTGAGAAGCACTTCCTCGTGGCTCCCAGACGTCGCCCTGCATCGCCTTCGCCTGCCTCGGCGGCAGACCCGGGCATGCGGCGTCGTCGGGCGTTTCGTAGTGGGGGCGGGCGGGGGGGGGGGGGCAGTTCTTGGGGGAAGGGGGGTGGTCGAGGGTTGCAGGCAAGGGATCGTGGCTCCTTGGGCCCCGGAGGCGCACCCTTCTCAAGGGGTCACTGATGGAGGCTTGGTTCAGTCCTGGTCGAGAAACGGGCGGGTGAGGAAAGGTGTTCGTCGCCCACCTGTGAATTGCCCCTCTCCCCCCAGTTGAGCAGCGCCCGAAGTCCTAAACGAGCCTCGCGAAACGGTCACACGGCCAGAGCTCTCGACCCCCTTCCCTGCGCACGGCCTTTCTCGAGCAGGAGGGCCGAGGATCTGCCAAGGCCCCGTTGGACCCGAGACTGAGCGCAGAGCGCCAGCGTCGCGCTTCTGTTTTTTGCCCTGCTCGCGGCCCCTCGACGACGACGACGACGACGACGACGACGACGACGACGACGACGACGACGACGCCGGCGCCGGCGCCGGCGCCAGCGCCGGCGCCGACACGCCGCGGCGGGACGCGCGGCGGAGCTCAACCGCAGCCAGCCGCCAGGGCCGAGGGCGCCAGGGGGGCCCGCGCGCCCCCCGCGCGCGCGGAGCGGGCCGGCAGGCCTCCCCTCCCTCCTCCTCCTCCTCCTCCTCCTCCTCCTCCTCCTTCCTCCTCTCCTCCCCCCTCCCCTCCTCCTCCTCCCCTCCTCCTCCTCCTCATCCTCCTCCTTCCTCCTCCTCCTCCTCCTCCTCCTCCTCCTCCTCCCTCCTCCTCCCCCTCCTCTCCTCCTCCTCCTCCTCCTCCTCCTCCTCCTCCTCCTCCTCCTCCAGCTGCCATCTGGGCCCAAGAGATTGTCAGGGCAGCGACACGGTTACACACCGTCATCCCACAGAGATGCGAGGCAGGATTGATTGGGCGGAAACCCGCATGTTTGCGCTGCGATGAATGACCACCCTCGCGCTGCTGCTCTACAACCTGTTGACGGCCAGAGAGGATCGACTCCAGGAGATCCTTGAGGAACCTCCAAATTTTGACGTCGTGATCCTGACAGGTTCTCAACGACTCCGACGAGGAGAACAACCAAAACAACGAATACTACAGAACACGAGGTACATCGATGCAGGGTGGCAGAGTGGCTTGCTTACCAACCGCAGCACTGGCATCCTGGTGGCACTACAAGGACGACTACGAGGAACGGACATACTTGCTGTGCATGCCCCACCGCCAGAACTATGCGGACTAGGCGTCGCACTCGGCAGCGCGCACCACACAATTCGACTGACGATCATTCGATATTACTTCCCACCCCAGCCGCGTACGAAGGAGAAGAAAAACAATACTAGGGGACAGCGGCACGACTTTACACATGGATGGATACCACTGCGCAACAGCGCCCACCAGGAAGCTTACTATTCACAGCGGGTGACCTGGCCGACGGGGTTGGCATCGAGGCGAAAGGACATACACCACCGAGCACGGCGCTGGGCGAGTACCGCACCAAAGAAAGACTACCAGGAGGCGCAGGACAATGAGCACGACAATACGCGGAGCGCCACCAACTATTGGTAACGGGCAGCACTTTGCCATGGCGCCCGACGTACTTTAGCACGCACACAGCGAGCTGCATCGACTTCACCATGATGCCACAGGAACTCTCGTGCAACGTCACCCGCCAGGGACCCCATACTCCGAATGGGCACCAGACTACAGCAGATCCCAAGCATATACCACCGTGACCACGTACCAGTACACGCAACGATCACAGCGACGATGCGCAGACAACAAGTCCAAAGACAGAAGCCAGTGATATGGGACAAAGACCTACTTGCTCAAGCGGCCCAACACGGACAACATCGCAATGAGTTCATAGAGGCGCTTGAGACCAAATTTAAGACGTACGATCCTGCTAACAAGGGCATTGACCAGCTGTTCGCGGACATCAGCGATATGATCGTACAGGCGGCACACCCCATATACGGACAACGACCACCACACACGCTGGCATATACAGACCTACGAGCGCGCCGATTGAAACTACTCAGACAGCGCAGAGCACTACGGGAACGACTCAGACGGGAGGGTGAAGCACTACGCATCGGGCCCTCAGAGGAATATCAGATGAACAAGGTGCCGATCACCTACGTTACTGGGCCCCCACCGACGACATGTGCGGCTACGGGGCCCTCACCGAGGGCACGTGTCACTACTGGGCCACCACCAACAGATTGCGTTGATACTGGGCCTCCAGCGACGAGTCGTGCTGCTACTGGGTCTCCACCGAGGACGTGGGTCGCCAATGGGTCTCCACCGGTGGCAAGTGTGACCGCTACTGGGACGTCACCTACGGATTGTGTTGTTACAGGGTCTTCACCGAGGGACAGTGTTGCTACTGGGACCCCGCCGACGTACCCAACGGAACGACGACTATGCGACATCGAGAACCAACTACGCCAGATCACCAGGGAATGCGCGACATTCGAAATATGGAGTACCAGAAGCTGACGGACGACAGAGTGGCAGAATTGTACGAGGCGTGGAAAAGCAGGGGCTTGGCGAGAGCGGGAAGGTTGACCAGACTCATGGCGGGAGGCAGGTACGGACCACGGAAACGTGACTACTGGATTACACTTACAGCGCAACCCACACGGGAAGAATGGTTGGAGTTCTGGAAACTACCAGGAGGAATGGGTGGAATGGAGGGAACAGAGCAGGACGACGACGCACTGGAGCAGATGCCAACCCGTGCAGAGGCGCAAGACTACGACGAGAACGACTTAGAGGAGGTACTCGACCAGGACATCGAACACATCAAGCACAGCCTCAAGAGAGCAAAATTACGACGAGCAGCACTTCCCGCGGCGGCGCGTTCTGAATTATAGAGACTACTACAGGGGAGTTATACGCCAGCACCACAACGACACAAAGGCCTGGGAGCGCCAACCACGCAGACTAAATCAGGCCACTTCAACGCATAACTTCGAGCGTCGCTCTCTGCGATACGACTCAGCAACACCACTCCAGTGCGCTGGCACCAGGGCGCGGCGACAGCAGTCAAGAAGAACAACACCAGGACCACCCGGCAAGATAATCTACCACATCACGGACCCGATTGGCAAAGCATACTACTCAGCCAGCATGCGACGACAACATTCAAGAGTCCACACTGGCCAGGACGATGGCTTCATCAAAGGACGGCGTCGAGAGGGAGCAATACTGACCATGGCGGTAGTGGAGTACCGAGCACGTAAAGCAGGCCGCAGCTTCATCACGATACTGAAGGATCTGCCGAACGCCTTCGGAAGCATACTATTCACAGCGGGGGGCCTGAACGACGGGGTTGGCATCGAGGCGAAAGGACATACACCACCGAGCACGGCGCTGGGCGAGTACCGCACCAAAGAAAGACTACCAGGAGGCGCAGGACAATGAGCACGACAATACGCGGAGCGCCACCAACTATTGGTAACGGGCAGCACTTTGCCATGGCGCCCGACGTACTTTAGCACGCACACAGCGAGCTGCATCGACTTTACCAGGATGCCACAGGAACTCTCGTGCAACGTCATCCGCCAGGGACCCCATACTCCGAATGGGCACCAGACTACAGCAGATCCCAAGCATATACCACCGTGACCACGTACCAGCACACGCAACGATCACAGCGACGATGCGCAGACAACAAGTCCAAAGACAGAAGCCAGTCATATGGGGCAAAGACCTACTTGCTCAAGCGGCCCAACACGGACAACATCGCAACGAGTTCATAGAGGCGCTTGAG